GTTATTATGTATATATAAATACACACACATACAGTATGTATTTTGAAAATATTTACATATATATATATATATATATTCATATAATTTATATTATAAATATATTAAAATATAAACATACAATTTTTCTTAAATATATACGTGCAAGTGTGTCTTTATATATACATAATGAATATACACAGCACACACACACATATATAAACAAACTTTTATTTTGGATGCGATTAATCATTTTACAGCACTCATTTTTACATAAGCAAACTTTGAAGTGATTTCAGGCTGCTTTAATGCATCAATAATTTCATTTTAAAACCTGAAAATTCATTACCTTCACATGTGCAAAGTGTGCGTTTCTAAAACGCTGTCGTGTCGTGTGACTGAATGAATTGTAAATAAGCATCAGATGTCACTGTGTACATTTACGCAGCTTTAATTTACAGGAAATCTGAAACGTGACCTGTGCAAACTACGTGTACAGGCTTAAAAAACCACAGAGGCAGAAATAGACTCAAGCTCGGTTAATAGTTAATATAATTATTCTGACATGAGCGTCACTGAAGGGCGCAGATGCAAAGCCTGTATAGTTCGAGTATCTTCTAAAGTTCGAGGTTTGTTTGCATTACATTTGGACATTTGAACTTGATGTTACAGACCTTATTTAGGCTGGATGCCATAATTAATTTGATAAAAATGAGGCTGTGAGGGCAACAACCTATGTTTTTGTCTTAAATTATCTGGAAAGATGTTTAGGAGTCAGTATAATACATTAGGCTTAACGACGAGGCTTATTAATAAACAACACCGAATTTCTGGGTTAATTTTAAATGCATTTCACAGTTCGTTAAGAATGATTTTAGAAATGATTTACTTAGAAATGTAACCACTGAACAGATCAAATATTCCTTAAACTGAAAAAAATTAATAAAAATTGGATTCGAAAATAGTTCGGCTCAGAAATTGCTAGTAAATTTCACAAACAAACACAAAGAATTACGCATGAAATTTCGAAGTAGAAAAACTGAAAAAGTATTTTCTTGTAAAATGCACTTCAATAATCTTTCTCTATGACTCTGAGCAATTAATTTTTTAAAAGTGTAGATTCTTTTTTCATTTTCATGCAAAATTTCATTTGCATCAAATTAAATATGGCATCCA